GAAGTTGACCAAGAGAAGGGCGTATTCGTGGGGCGAATAGCAATTAGTTGCACACTCGTGCAACTCGCGAGACATCCGGTGAAGAAGCTACTCGTTCAAGGGTCAGAAACAGAATTAGGGGAGTGGAAAGTGTGAATTATATAGCCTGGCAAGGAAAACGGGGACGCGTAGAATGTTCGTAACGATGTTCACCGGGACGATACCTCTGATTAAATTTGTGTGACGTTTTGCCTCCAGGCAAAATATCCATTCTGATCGTGCATCGAATTTGAGAACTGTGTTCGCGTCGAGGCGGATTGAATTTGGATAATGTTTAGAGATACAAATTTGCCAGATTGCTCGTGTGATCTGTCGTCGTGTATGTAAATGAAACTTAATAAAAGGAGGTGTACACGTTGTTGCCACGCATACAAGTGGAAATTGGAGTGGCGCTCGTGTCGACTCGATCTGGACATCGTTCGACACCGGCGGAAGTCCGATCTGCGTGTAAATTAAATTTATAAAAGGAGATGGAGATCGATCGAAGCGATGTTCTTTCCATCGATAAATTATAATATTCTTAATTAACGCTTAATCAATGTAAATATGTATGGACAAACATAACAATATAAAAAATAAATTCTTCGTAAAGTGGATTATATTATATTTAAAATACGCATGTCATTCCAACAATGTCGTTTAGTCACCGTCAACCAATAATTTTACACCAATAATTCAATCAAACTTGAGAAAATCGAACCGTCCATCCTTTCCACGCAACTCGATACACGTTTCTCCAAGAAACTCGATCTTTATTACACGAAAGAGAAATATGGAATATGGCTTTCAATATCCAGGGACCCATGTCCCTTCTCCCCTTCTGACCCTTCTTCTCGAAACTTTCTCTCGTCGAAATTATAGATCTCCAAGTCCGTCGCATCCTCCCTTTGAAACTTCCCGGGGCGTAATAAAAAGTTGTCTCTGCGAACTCCGGCTACTGTTTTCAGATTTTTCCCCGCTGCGAGGACGAATGTAAATGCGAGCCGAATTTCACGTTCCACTTAAGCCTGCCTTGTCACCCGTAAAATTCTTACGAGGACGCTTTCCCATCGTCTTTTTCCAACTGCTGATATAAATTGAACGAACTTTTTTTTTCCATCCATCTGGATGTTAAAATGTTGATCGGTGATCAAGGATCGCGATCATCTCGTTGGATCCCATACTTTTTTTTTTTTTTTTTATGTCCAATGGAACTGGCAATTTCTAGATTAATAAGAGGGAAGGAGAGGAAGGTTTGATAAATTTTTAAGAGGATGTTTTAATGAAATTAAAGGGAGGATTATGGACGAGTTTGAATCAAGTAAAATTTCGAATATTTCTTTTTTCTTTTTTTTATATAGTATATGATGTTTGAAACAATGGTTCTTGGTTGATTTCTGTTGCAAGTATTTCAGATGGAAAAAGTGTAAAATAAATTGTCTATTTATAGATGGTACAAGAAAGATTACGAGGACAAGTTTTAAAAGTTTCGTAAAATTTCAGATATTTTCTTAATCTGTGAAACGGAGGTTTTCTATTGGTTTCAAGCACATAGAGAGATTTCAGTTAAATTAATTTAAAAACACTTACAATTGATACGTCTAAAAAAAATTGTAAAATTGAAGATATGCAACGAAACATCCAAAATAATTGTATATATTAATAGTAACACTGAATATATACAAATTAAAATTCTTACACTTGTATTTCTTAAAAGAAAGTCTACAATATATTCGTATTAAATGCATTGATTTAATCAATCTAATCTTTTCAATTTACCGTTCGAAATAACAATCGAAATATTGAAAATTTCCATATCAGAAATATTTTTTATTTGATAAAATAAAACAATTAAAATTAAACAAGTATAATAAAATTAAAAGTTGTTAAGCCATCGAAAAATAAATGCACGAGATTCAATTTACATACACAAAAAAAAAAAAAAACTTTTCAACGAATCACACGAGACAGAAATCCTTTAAAATGAAGCATCGTCGAATCTATTTAAACCAGATATTCGAATATTCGTAAGATTTGGTAAACGTGTAGTCGCGCATTTGCTATACTTGGACCGTCATATAAATGGAACACACTTTTCAATCTCTATCCTTTTCATATCTCGCGTGCGAAAAGGCCGAAGAGAGCTCGTGTCAGGAGCAGCGGATATTTCATCTTTGTGGCGCGCATAAATGAATTTTTCATGTATATTTCGCGGATTCCTTCTTCCAACACGAATCTGTCGTTAAACGTTAAATACCGATAACTTTTCAAACACCTTTCGAGAGATATGGCTATCATTGCGCGAAATTGTCGTCCTTTCGAAGATTACATCGTCGAAGATCAGAGATGTAGAAATAGCAAAAAATGAAATATTTAAAAATTAAAATTTGTAATTTCTTATAAGAGTTGAAGTTACACGAAAGAATAACAATGAAATATTTCTAAGAATATTTCTTGATTACACAATCGTGGCAAAACGCACGTGCCAAACGTATATAACGTAACAATAGAGAAGAATTTCGTCATCGACAGTTTTTCTATCGAACACGAAGGATCCCGGTTTAAAGACAAAACAAACTCCCTACACGGATAAAAACATAACCGAAAGAACGGACGAGGGATTTACGTGGAAAAACTCGGAAAACTCGATACACAGAACATAAATTCGCATTATGGGTGGGTCTTAGGTTAGCTCGGTAGGAAAGAGCGCATTGCGGCGTCGAAGGGGGCCAGAAGGAGTTGGTAGATCGAATACGGTTGGAAATATCGAATGTCCGAGTTTGATCGCGACGAACATCGTTGGTATCAGCGTCACAGACACATTCTTTCAACGTGAAGGGGAGGGGATGAAAGGAACAAGAAAGGATAGGAGGAAAAACGTGGGACGATGGCCAGTGCATTCACATCACGTGCCATCCACTCCATCCCTTTCTATAGATAATCCTGGACTCTAACCTGTTTGCCCGTCTTTTTCGCCTGCGTATATACCCGCAATAAGATTCTCGAGTGAATCAAGCAGAGTTTGCCACGTTCTCTCCCTCTTCCATTCGATCTTTTATCCGTTTCCTTCGAATTTCTCTTTATTCTTCTCTTACGTCGAGTTTATTTCTTCGCTATTCTCCACCCTATGTTTGCTACTCCCTCCAACTGTATCTTCTAGTTGTACACCGATGTTCAAAAGTTGAGGAGATAATTGATATTTCTTTGACCTTTTCCAATCTCAAATTGTCAAATATCCCCTATCATTTAATGGGAAATAAATGTAAATTGTATTAATTTTACGCAATATGAAAAAAATAAAAATAAAAGTATAATCAACAGATATAGTCAATCTGTCTTTATACTACACATAATAATTTTTCTTCAAGGATTAATAAATTGAATATTCATATATATGTATAAACCTGTTGAATAAATATAAATGAAATTCTCTAATATAATATGATTTCCAATTCAAGTTACGATCAAATGTCCCCATACTTTTGAACAGGGGTGTATTCGAGCTCTGAGAATCGAACTCCTCCCTATACATCTAACGCAGCGCTGTTAAGGTCTATTCCTCCGTTTCTCCATTTCGAGCGATTCGCTGAATCGGCGAAGCGAGCCGAAGGATGCCATCGTGCCAGCCATTGCGGCGCAAAGTGTCGCCTCTTGTTTCTGTGTGCGGGACAATTACAATGGCGCAGGAAGCTCTCGAGAAGGAACGTCGACACCGTCCTCGGCTACTTATCTTTTGTTCTTATTTGGAACGCAGCAGAGGGCCGTGTCTAGGGCCGAATCATAATGGGGAAACGCGTTCTACGAAGAAAGGGAGGGAGGGATAGAAGAATACTTTGGAACGGAGGTGAATTCAATTGGAAGCTTGTAATAACGGTAATAACTTCTTCATCCTCGAGATTAGGAATTGGACGACGTTATTGGGGAAAGAAAAGTTGGATCTCCATTGGATCGGTTTCGTTTGTAAAATGTGGTCAGTAAATGATCGAGGATTATTTGAATATTGGATAATGGGTGTATAATAAATAAATAGATTTTTATTGTATCATAAATTTGATTTTTGATGTCGCGTTATTTCTTTTTGATCGAATTTGCAGTGTCTAAGTATATTTGTTTTATACGTATAAATAATTATAATTAAAACGATGTTACGAAAATAAGTAATTACATTTCTATCTCGAATTACAATTATTAATTTCGTCAAAGAAATTTTCAGCGTTAAAATGTGTATTATTTATTTCTTATAAATTTGTACTTATTTTAACTCTCATATTACTCGAAATCTTCCTTCCAAGAAATTCTCTACTGAACGATTTAAGACAGTAATTATCACTTTATCGAGCCAAATTTCGAACGTAACCCGAACGTAAGAACGACCGACAAACTTCGAAGCCCCAGTCCCAAAGTTATTGTTGTCAAATTCAACGTTGACGCCGCTTTAATAACATTAAGATCATTAAAGTTGGGCCGCGCAACGCCAGAGTTGGTAACGAGTGCTAATGAGTCCGCGGATAAACATCGAAATTACTTCGGATCGAAACTGCGCCAGAAGTCGATCGGATGTCGTTACCCTCCCCGCGTCCAAAGTTGCCGGAAGTTGCCATCGCCCGTCCCGCAATCCCTAATCCAACGTTGAAAATCTACGGGGGGAGGAGCAACTATTACCATTATCCGCTTATTTTCACTTCTCTTAACCGAGTTTTCTCTCGTCTCGTCCCCTCCCTTTGCTCGTTGCTTCCACAATTTCGATTCAAGAGTCAAGGAAGCAGCAAAGGGATAGCGATTTTCCGATTCGATCGACGGGTCTAAAAGAGAAATTTCAACTTCCGCCCCGTGATCCCGCGCATTCCATCGATTTCCTGCCGACTCTCCACCAAGAATTCACTTGGATGGTTCTCGACTCGCGGAGAGAGGATTACGCCTCGATCTTTATTGACCGATACGCGGCCGAACAAAAAAATTTGCATTCATCGCGCAGAAATCCCGAATTAAACATTCCAGTTGTTACCCTTTGATGGAGTAAAGTGTTTTTCATACGAATGTAAAGGAACGATAAAAAATTTTCAATCGTTTCTCTATTCTATATCCGTCATTCGAATAGATACGCTTTATGTTACGTTCTCGTAACGAACGAGTAAATTTTCTACGTAAAAAAGTATAAGTATACTTCGTTCGTAAAGTTTCCACAGATCATCGTTCTTCATCCACTATTTTTACCACTTCTATGCATTCCCACAATCGAAAAAATACATTACACAAAATTTCCTCAAACCGTTATTTCTTAATCACTATTATTTTCCTATTTATTCACTTCAAAATTATTATCCACCCTTCCCAATAATATATCTATATTCCTTTCCAACCGTGATAACACTGAAATAATCCAAACAAAAAAATTTCTCTAAACTACTTTTTCATCCACCACTATTCATCACCGGCCACGATATAATATCCCCCGATACAACGAGACGAACGAAAATTACAGGAAAACGGGGAACACGCACGCGAGAACACCGAGCGAAAAAAATCAAGATCCAGGGATGGAGTTGTTGTAGGAGGAATGGTGTAGCTTGTGCGCCCCTCGGCTTTTCGTGGTTTATCATGTGGGAAATATGGTAACGCGTTTATCGCTGGTGGGTGTACGCACTGCAGAGCGCGCGGTTACCGCAGTGGTATAAATCGAGTTAGGGGGCGAGTGCGCGCGCGCGCGCACGCC